TCATCATCATCATCATCATCGTCATCATCATCGTCATCATCATCATCATCATCATCATCATCAATGCAACCACAATCACCACCACCACCAATACCAACCAATATCACCATTACCACCGAGCCTCTTTTCACCATGTCAGTCACTGGTAGACTTGTGTGAGAGAAGCCCCTCCTCATACTTGACCAACGTGGACTGTGCCCAGGTAGTGGACACCTGCACCAACTACTTCCCTCAGGAACCCAAGTGCCAGATCTATCTGAACCAATGGTAGGCCTACTGGTCATCTCCAAAACATCCGTTTATTATCTCTCCTACTCCCATGAATAGATAGATAGATAGATAGATAGTGTGTGTGTGTGTGTGAACATTTTTTCAAAGTGCATAGATCATGCTGTAGAGCATGGAAATGCGCTGTATAAATGCAATTAATCTCAACCAAACCCTTTTAGCGTACATGTTATTTCATCTTAGCGATTTTATGCTAGTACGTTCGTGCACACTTGGGTCTCAAACTGTTACTCGTGTAATAATAAAACATCTTGGGAGCAACATGGTGAAATCAGGCGTTTGTCAAAATAATGAGATCTAAGAAATCAATTTTTTTAATGGCAGATGGACAATTTTTTTTCTAATTTGTTTCTTTTGTTTTGGCTTTTACGGAAAAACATTGATTAAAGGCACAACAAATGTAAATTTTCTGTTTCCAAGGACTTTCAGGTTATGAAGCTTTTCAGACTTTAGAGGCCATTTTCTCGCTAATTTTACATCTGAAACCAGGCGACTCTGACCTCCTTCAATCGCAAATATTTAAATTTCTATTCAACATAGATTAATATTCTTTTCTCCAAATAAAAGGCAAATGAACAGGCTTTTAGATTATACCAGTAACTCTACATGACAAAAACTGTCGAGCGCCTGATTTCACCAAGTTATGACACATTTACATGCTTGTCTTTCAGCGGTCTATCACGGTATTCCTCCTGCGTGGAGGACTTGCAGGACTCCAGCTGTTCCACTGCTAGCGACAGGTCGGAGGTCAACATGGAGAGGTTGAGAGTGCAGAACCAGATGAGGGATACTTGTTGGGGTAAGAGACAGAGCGAGAGAGAGAGAGGTGGGGTGGTGAGTGAAAGAGAGGGAGGGAGAGAGAGAGAGAGAGACAGAGAGAGAGACAGACAGACAGACAGACAGAGCGAGTGGTAGTGTAGGTAAAGGGTGCAGAACCAAGAAAATAAGGAAGACTAGTTGTGGTAGGTCAGAGAGAGAGAAAGAGAGAGAGAAAGAGAGAGAGAGAGATTAAGAGAGAGAAAGAGTGAGAAAATGAGAGATACTTATCGAATTAGGAAAGCACGACCACGCGTGCTGCAACAATATGATGATGATGATGATGATGGTGTTTGTTTGTTTTTTATTTCACCCCATTCTTAGGACCAAGTGAGTTGAAAATCGGCTCCAGATGTCTAGCTTCTATAGAAACCTGCTCGGAGACCACATTGACTCGCGGATTCTGCAAGTGAGTTAGACGGGGATGATTAAAAATTTAGTAAAAATGCAAATGGTAAATAGTGAAAAAAAAAGCAAACAAAGCCAAAAAAAGCAGGTACAAGAGTTGCAACACAAGCCTGGAACACTTTGTTTTTTCTCTCCTGAAAAAAAGTTTGTTTTCTGGGTGTAGGACAGTTGAACAGGTTGCCAACGATAAATCATATTAGATAGATAGATACACACACACACACACACACACACACACACACACACACACACACACACACACGCAC